TGTACAATCCTGCGAGTGTTAGTAAAAGCATTTTTCTTTGCAGTTGAAGACGGGTCATTCTGATGAGCACGGTAGAGGTGGTGTTTTTCAGCAAGCAAGGCCTTAATCTCTTCATCGTTTTCGTCAAACCAGTCCGGCTGCTTCCTATATGAAGGTCCAAGAACCTTAAGTGCAGAAGAGTGCAAGATGTCCCGGAAACTCTGAGAGTTGATTGTCAAGATCTTTTACTAATGAAGCTACTACTAAAATACTGACTTAACACTTTAACTGCCTACATAATAAAACTTGGGAAGGAAACTTGGAAGGAGACATGAGAGCTTTCAGCAAAGGGCTCTTCAGCCATTCAGAAGTTGTTTTTTTTCACATTTTTATTGATTTATCAAAATATAAAATACAAAGAAAAATAGAAAACTGGAGGAAAGGGAAGGAAAAGAGAAGGAAAAAGAAAGAAAAAGACATTGACTTCCAACTCTCCTTAGCACAGTAGACGATAATAACATTACAACCTCATTTTTTTACTTCTACCTAATAGTATATTGTCTATATACTAGCCATTTCTATAGCAACAAACCTTTCTAATCAGCAAAAACAAAATCAAAGTTTCCATCCCCCCCCAAGCATAACATCTGGAAGCAATTTTCAGATAGAAACAAAATTAAATATATTCTCTCCTTTGGATGAAGGAATCAATTTAACCATCTCTGCTTTTCCATTCAGAGGTTGTGAGCAGCTCTCTCACTTGGGTTTATTCTTGCATGTGTAATATCTCATCCCAGCATCTTTTGTTATGATAATACACTTGATTGTAGTTGAAAGTCCAAGAAACTTTTATTTAATGTCAATTCTTATAAGCCAAAGTACATCTCTTGTTGCTGTTCAGTGTTTTGCTCAGTCATACTGTTACATAAAAGGATGTCCCAGAGTTGATTTGTTCATTTTCTTTTTTGTGTGTTTTCATACAGTCTTTCCTTCTGGTATTATCACTTGAATTTTACTTTATTGTTATTTGGCTGGTCAAGAAGAAGAGCATGTGTTAGTTTTCTGCTGCTCTTTTGATTCCATAAGAAAGAAATGTCATGAAATGATTAAGCTATTTGATTCCTGTCTGTTCCATGCTTAATGTATTTTTTAACCACTACTGTATTGTGATTTTGCCGGCATAATGATGGTGTGGTCCCTTACATTGCTGTGTCTTTATGTTCTTTCATATGCAAATATTTAGATGTTACTGAAAACACAACTATTAGTTGAAAAATATTGCTGTTTTTATATCTTAAGGCATATATTTAATAATAATAATAATAGTAAAGTTGGAAGGGACCTTGGAGGTCATCTAGTCCAACCCCCTGCTCAGGCAGGAAACCCTATACCATTTCGGACAAATGGCTGTCCAGTCTCTTCTTAAAACCTCCAGTGTTGGAGCATTCACTGCTTCTGGAGGCAGGTTGTTCCATTGGTTAATTGTTCTAACCGTCAGGAAGTTTCTCCTTAGTTCTAGGTTGCTTCTCTCCTTGTTTAGTTTCCACCCGTTGCTTCTTGTCCTGCCTTCAGGAGCCTTGGAAAATAGCTTGACACCCTCTACTTTGTGGCAACCCCTGAGATATTGGAACACTGCTATCATGTCCCCCTCGTCCTTCTCTTCATTAAACTAGACATACCCAATTCCAGCAACCGTTCCTTATATGCTTTAGCCTCCAATCCCCTAATCATCTTTGTTGCTCTTCTCTGTACTCTTTCTAGAGTCTCAACATCTTTTTTACATCGCGGTGACCAAAACTGGATGCAGTATTCCAAGTGTGGCCTTACCAAGGCATTGTAAAGTGGTATTAACGCTTCACGTGATCTTGATTCTATCCCTCTGTTAATGCAGCCTAGCACTGTGTTGGCCTTTTTGGCAGCTGCAGCACACTGCTGGCTCATATTTAGGTGATTGTCCACTAGGACTCCGAGGTCCCTCTCACAGTTACTACTATTGAGCAAGGTACCCCCTATACTATACCTGTGCATTTGGTTTTTCTTGCCTAAATGTAG